ATAAATATCAGATAAGTAAGATAAGTAATATTTTTTATAAAATGGAAAAATAATTTATCTATATACACACTATAACTATAGATGTGTTGGATTCTTTTTTTTCGATTCTTTTTTTCGAAAATACTTTATTTTTAGAAAATACTTTATTATTATAAAATACTTTAGAAAATATTTTATTATTATTTTATATATGCACGTCATATGACATATGCATATACGCACATGTCAAAAAGGCTTCCGCAACTAACAAATTACTACTTACAGTCCACAGAAATTAAATTGTCTAAGGATTTTTGTTACCAACATTATCCCCTCTTTTTTTATGGAAATTATATAATCAAAAACCACACAATGCACATATCAATGTATAATTTTATATTTATAACAGCGCAATAACTTATAGGAAGCAATATTTCATTATGATTACGAAATGTACTTGCCGTAATACGAAGCTTCTTACGAGTGTTTCGCTAATAGGATTATATCATAAGTGTACGCAAAGTTTGGTTATGTCTGTTTAAAGGGCTCAAATGTTGTTTTGCATTTTGTACACTCAAGTTTACGCGATGACATCTTGTAACCAACGCGTTAAGATACCTGTCACTTTTTAGCGCATCTGTCAAGCCTCGCGTTCGTCCCGAAATGCAACCCAGCGACAACGGAGGACGTGACACGGTTGAAGGAATTTGTTGATAAACATCGTCTGTGCGTATTAACTGGGGCGGGAATATCTACGGAAAGTGGTATTTCCGACTATAGGTCAGCCGAGGTCGGTCTTTATGCTCGTAGCAATCGCAAACCGATTCTTTACAAAGAATTTTGCAATAGCGAAGTAGCCAGAAGAAGATACTGGGCCAGAAATTATATCGGATGGCCAAGGTCTATCTCTCTGTTATTACAACATACAATATTCATTTTGATTATTTAAAAAAAAAACTTAATTTATGTGATTGACTTATTTATCCAAGAAAAAAAAATAATATATATATATATATCTAATATTAGCTATATATTTACAGATTTTCCTCTCTTAAACCAAACATTACACATGAGATCCTAAAGGATCTGGAGTATGTTGGAAAAGTAGGATGTATCGTTACACAGAATGTAGATAATTTACATTCGAAGGCAGGAAGTAAAAAGATAATCGAACTGCATGGGACAGCATTCAATGTAATATGTCTTAATTGCAATCATAAGATATGTAGACACGAACTTCAAAAAGTGTTTCAGAAACTTAATCCATCTATGATCGCGACTGCTGAGATGATAAGACCTGATGGTGATGTTGAATTGTCACAGGTACATATGATAATCATGCTTACGTATGAGATATGCACGCAATGTTTTAAAAATGCCATATTCTGATAACAAAATATATTTAATAGACACAAGTGGAAAGTTTCAATGTCCCTGCTTGTGATAACTGCGGCGGTATTTTGAAACCAGATATTGTATTTTTTGGAGACAATGTATCACGTGACAAAGTACAAAGTGTGAAGGATAATGTAGAAAGTTTAGATGCTCTGCTAGTTCTAGGAACAACTCTTACCACATTTTCTGCATATAGGATTATATTGCAAGCAATTGATGCTAGAAAGCCAATAGCAATAGTAAATATTGGCAAAACTAGAGCTGATGAATTAGTAAACTTTAGAATAGAAGGAAGATGTGGAGATGTTCTATCAAAAATTTGGCAGTTAAATGTTTCGAAAGATTTTGTAAGATAATGATAAATACGAATAGCTTTTTAAAATTTTAATCACATGTATATTAGTAAAAATATTTTTAATTATATTTTAATTATATTTTTTAATTGATGAATAATGCTCAATGTAAGAAGGTGCAATAAAAAGCAAATGCTTATTCTTGGAAAATTTTATCATTCTTTCATTTAATTCTGTAATCATTTTTCTGAAAGTTATAAATATTCGTAATACGAGTAATCTTATCAATGGGAAGATTTTGCCTCCTTTGCGTTTTGTAAACTTTGAGTAATATATAATTTTGCTAAACTCTGAGCGCAGAATTGTGAAATATGTTCACTGTACGTGTTGATCTGTCCAGCGACAATCATGGGATTTAACCTTGGTGGAACTGGCAGAGGTCTCATCAGTTTATTGATATCATCGTCAGGTAGAGGTGGTTCATCCTTTGCAGCCCTGGCGGCATTTTCTTGAGCTCTTTTGGCCAGGAGCCTATTTTTGTCTTGCTGCTGTCGAACCACCAACTGTTGATACCTGTTGAATTTCATCGCTTCCTGATTCAGTTCGTCTACACGATCCATCAAGCACCTTAATTGGTTCTCCAATACTGTGGCAGTTCCAAGATCTAAATACTTCGTGCCTTGTTCTTCAGGAATCATCTCATCCAATTCAGACATCATGATATTTGTCAAATTACTATTCTTTATAACTACTGGAATCTCAACGAAGAGACTCTCATATCCAATTTTCAAGGTCCGCAGAGCTTCTGGAGTGAACTCGTTCTCCTTGTACATCTGTATCGCTTGCGGAGTGAGCCGGTACGCTTTAAGCGTCAAGAAACCTCTGGCAGATTTTGCAGTGTCGTAGATAAGCACAACAGACTCCTCGATGGAAGTCTGGTAATGATACTGCGACTCAAGTAGCGATAGATTCAGGAAGTTGCCAACGTCGGCGCTCTGATACCAACCGACGTGGAAGTGATCGACGTTCACCCTGAATAAAATAAACAAAATTTTCTCGTATTCTAAGAAGCAATTATAACATTCCTGAATATCTATGCCGCCGACACTCACCAACGCAGCCGCCGCATCATGGCAAGCTGGTATTCTTCCTCATCCATGATCTCGTCATTCTTGGGAAACGGGAAGCAATTTGTGATCTCCAGACGATTTTGCACAACCAAACCAAGAAGAGCGCCCTGGGCAACTTCCATGTTGCTGGCGGACTCCTCATGACAGTGCTTCACCATCTTCATCACCACTAGCCCGTCGCATTGTACATAGTCTATACGCGGCTCCACTTCGGGTATTCTTCTCGATGTCGCCCTCGAAACCATTTTTTTCAATTTACTGATCTGACTTTGAAATAAATTCACACCACACGCAGCTAATCGACATCAATGAAGGTTAGTTAGGAAAGACAACGCACCGTTCATGACGTCACTATACCCTCTTCTATTCGTTGTGGCGTTTTCATCGATGCTTCATACCGGGTTTGCATCAGTCCCGGTCTACAATAGGTGATTTAAGCCATAAGAAATGGACGAATCATAGTCGAAGAATAGGAGAATAATCGACTATGATTGGTCAATTTTTAATAAACTTAAGACTTAGGGCGGGTCTCACCAAGTTTGGTTAACGCTACGGCCGGTTAATTTGGCCAGCAGAATTGCCAATAGCAAGAAATCCAAAATCGATCTTGGTACTTCCTAATCTATTCATGGCAAAGAGAAAGTGCGTAGAATATGAATTATAATAAAATAAGAATATAATTTTTTAATATTTATATAAAAATATATATATATATATGCTTTGAAATATAAATACAAATGTTTACAACAAGAAATTAGGTTAGAAATGACGAAATTTTTATTTTTGCAATTGAGTTTTCAAATTTAACCCGCTGTTTAATTTAATCAGAATTGATAAGACCGGCCCTTAAATCACCTATTGTAAATCAGGACTAAACCAATTATATTAAAGGATTTTACACAGTTGCAAAACTGCTTTTTCTGCTAAACACAGCCAATGGTATGTACACTCATGGTGGAAGTAATATATGGTGTGTGCAGTTTGGCTAAACTACGCCCACTTTCGCTCTGAGCTGTTTATAATAGGAAAATACTACCAACTGTGAAAAGTAAAAATAGTTTAGCGTTTATCAAATTGGTATGCTGGATCTACTGTCCTTGTTTCACGCACTTCTTCGAGCGATTTCTTTTTCTATCTGTTCCGTGTGTGGACAAGTGTTACTTTCATTTGCGAGACATTCGGAAAATTTGTGTAAGACTGATGGCAGAGAATGAGACATAAGCGCTTACATTTACCGTAAACGTAGATGTAGATTAAGGCAGAGAAAAACTTATACATAAGAGGTTACACGTATACGTGAAAAATTATTGGATATGCTACGTCTCGTTTTCAGCCTAATACTATAAAATGGTGCAGTATAGCATGTGGTTGTAACAGCAGTTCTGATAAATGTAGCGGTAAAAACTCGCACGTATATAAAAGTTCGAGAGATAAACAGACGGTTGATAAATGATGCAAAGAAAAAAATGAAAAAAATCATTTCCAGCACAATTAAACAAAAATTATTAGAAACGCTGTATATATTTTATAATAAATCTGTATAATAAATCTCATTTGTTTTTTTTACAAGTACAAGAATTTGTACTTTATGTTTCAAGTTAGTGTTAATATTTTTATAAATATTGCATAAATGTTTGCTATTTTTGTTTTTTTTTTTAATGCAAATTTTCTTTATTCTTCATCACAGCAAAATGGCCAAAGAATACATGTGAACTCCAAAATACTCTATTTAGATACTCATCGGAATCATGCTGTTTTAGGAAAAAAACTGTTTAAGATGTCATAAAAAAAGTTTATTGTAATTTTTATAATTATTACATATAGTATTTTAAGATTTTTTATTATTATTATTTAGATGCAAAGTATCAAAATATTTATGTAATCCGTAATCATTTTTCTCATAAAGATTCGAAGTTCGAAAGAATGATCATTTGGCTGAAAATCCTCCCAATAGAGATTATAAATTATTCTATATTGGTTATCAACACTGTCACTTGTTTATTTAATTTTTTATTCAATATTTAATTTAAGACAGAAATTATGAAAGTTAAAAAGAGAAACTACGATGCATTATAAAGTGTATGAAACAAGGAGAGATTCAGCATATCAAGTTCTCGACGCGAAATATATTCGCGTTTCATAGTTAGGTTTCATATTTAGAAAGAGACACTGTCAAACTGCGCACACCATGTATTCTTTCCACCATGATGTACACTACTCAGATATCAGAAACAACTAGATCTAAGTAATCTGGTGATAAACCGATGAAAACTAGTGAAAATTATCTCGTTCAATGAACATCGACCTTTAAATTGATAACGCCATAGAAGACCCGCGAAAAAAGACTTATATTTACATTGGTCACGTCACAGATTTAAAATTTCGCGAAACGGTTTCTTGTTCATATGTGACAGCTGGTGACAATAGTGTTGAAAATTGGGAATTGCGGTGAAAGCCAGATCGGATTCGTCCAAATTTCAAAGAGAGTAATCAGCGATTTTACACATCGAGAAATGGTCGATGTGCAGGCAAAAATTGAAACTTGGACGGAATTGATACAGTCAGAGAAATTGAAAGATGTATTGAAGGATATAGAGGTATGCTCTTTCTCATGTTTGGAATAATATTCGTATTCTATGTAGCTTTATCTTGCATTGTTGATATGTTTCAGATAAATATTCACGTGCGACCAGATAACAAATTAAACGATGACATATTCAGATTATTGTTATACTTATGTCGCACAGCAGACAAATGTAATGGTCAGAATTGTGAGACTGGGAAAGATATTGCCAAATTAGCTAAATTATTATGCTCATTGTTGATCAAGGTACCTGATAGCAACAACTTTGTTAAGGCTGTATTTAAGATAACTCGTTGTCTAATTTCCTTCAATCTGTATGAAGAAGCAGCAGAAATTTGTTGTTATCTACAACCTGGAGATTTGTACCATCCCCAAGACAGCACTATGGAGCTTCTGATAAAAGTAGTATCTTTGTGGCGTGTTTCAATCAACAATGTATATAATACTTTTACAAGTGAGTCCTTAAACATGGAAAATTATAGCAAGCTAAAAAGTATAATAAAGCATGAAATGAAAATGACACAAATCGCATATAAAAATTACACAAGATACTTGATTGAGGGAATATGTGTAAATTTAAATAGACTTGTAGTGATTGACAAAGACAAGAAATATCTTGATGATTTTTGTAAATATACATTAGAATATTTATCAAAAACACATTTGTATCTAGACAAAGATGAAAAATATATAATATATCGTCATGTACTTGGTATTGTATGTCATATGACATGTAGGACTATTGATACAACTGGTATTGACTCTGCGGTAAAAATATTGGATGAGTTATCTAGTTATTTCAACAATCTTCTGGCTGAAGATAAGGAATGTTATCAATGCTTTCAACAATTTCAAAATTTATGCATGGCACTTTTGGTGCCAATGGAAAATTTTGTTAATGATAATGCCAAAAGTATACAAAATATTATTTATTGTAATTTAAATATTATAAAGAAATATGGATATGCAGGTCTCAAATGGAATGCTCTCACTACTGCAGAACTAGTCGAGCCCATATTCACATATTGGGAAACATGTGTAGATAAACACACGTTCGGGCGTTTACTTGATACTGGCATTTTGCTAGAATTAATGAACTTATTCTTGCATATAAACACAGATGATTTTTATAGCAAGCAAGTGACGATCAAATGCAAATGGTGCCTTGGCAAAATGTGCACAATCAAGAGGGATTTATATAACGCTGTAGCGATGATGTGCAGATGCGTTAATTTAGTATGTAAATTTCCTGTTGACACTTTGTCAGCAGAAATATATGCTGTTACCAGGAAAATCTTGAAGCAATGCGTTAAATTAATTACTTCTGAAATGAAAGAATGCGAATGCAAACGTTGGACACAATCGTGGAGTACTTGTCGTAATTTAATTTATAATGTAGGCATATTATCCGAACACGTTTATGAGGAAAGCATACGTCTATTCTCCTTTTTGTGTTCATGCATCTTTCAATTCGAAAGAATTGACTTGAATTCTCTACATGTGAAAAGCTTTCAGAACTCTGAAAATATTATTTCTTTGGTATTGTACAGATTAAGCATTGTGTATTATAATAATAGTATGTACAGAAAAGCCATGACTGTATGTGCATTGAATGCCTTGTTAACTTGTAATCAGACGAGCACAAAAGCTTTTTATATGTGGACAAAAATTAAGAAAAACGCTTCTGAAGAAATCGCAAACTTAACTATACTGGATTGCTTGAGAAGTGACAAAGATGAGATTAGGAACGAGCTGGGATTTTCAATCGATATTTCGAAATGCGATCCTAACGAGTTGTACTCACGTGAAGCAAGAAGTTTACTGGAAGAGAGGATCACATTTACAAATGGTGTGTCAGTAGTTTTAAAAAAACTTAAAGAGTCACAGTCAAACAATCATTACGCGCACATACTGCAGTTATTAGGACATTATTTATTAGATTTCAAACATGACAGTTCTATTTTAAAATATTACGAAGAAGCTATAGTTGATTTGAAGCAAGACAAGTCAGATTCTGTGGCTGTTCTGTGCTTGGAAGCTAATTTCAACTTTTTTAAGTTTGTGGATGCATTGCATACAATGAATAAGCAAACTCATATGGAAATGGAAAATACAAAGTTTGCTCTGTACGCTCCCAAGCTACCAGAACTTACTGAAACCAAATCTCCAAATGTAGTTCCTGCTTATACGATGATAAATATTAAAATAGACACCACTCTTAAATCAAGTTTACAAGAATGTTTGAGCAAATGGAAACAACTATTTAAAAGCCATTTTGTAAGTTAATAAAAAATGGATTAGATCACTCATTGAAATTTGCCTTTCAATAATTACTTGAGAGATTTTAAGATTTTAAGAATATTTTATTGTCAACAGAAAGAAATTGTTATGAATTGGGAACCTAATCTTATACTTCGCTTGCTAATAACAGCTGGTGAATATTCTCGATTGTATCGATATGAAGATTGCGAAGCTGAAGCATGGACGTTGGCATATAAGTTAGCATTAGAAATTAATGATTATACCGTTATATACAGTATGTAGAATCATTTATAATAATTATAATAAAGTAAAATAAATTAAGTAAGTTCTATAGATGGGATAATATCAAGTTTTATTACAGTTACAGGTCGTTGTATCTCCTTGAGACTAATTAATTACGATTGGATTGTTATTGCTAAAGAACATGCTATGAAACACAAAGATTCTGAAGATGAAAATATAATTGGTGCTATTGCTATCTTTTGGATGAGCTTAGCAGATCTCTATTTTGAATGTGGAAAGGTAATCTAAAAAGCCATACAAATATTTTATTTACTAATCTGTAATGTATATAAAAAAATTTTTTTTCAGTATGATGATGCTAAGCATTTATTGACCAAAGCTAGAAATCTTTCAGGAATTTCATTGCTTGAGAATAAACCTGTCTACTTGCTAAGTTTAGATATTATCGTACGCAACAGCATCTTTTATAAAGATAATATGCAACATGAAGATTATGGTTCATACATCGTGGAAAGTCTACTTGTAATGAGAAGTTTAAATCAAGATTTGTTTACGACAAAATGTAATTATGATTGAAGTTATTTATACTTCTATTTAATTTTAGTAAAGTTCCATCACACACATATAATTGTATATGCATAAAAATTATTCGACTAATTATAAAATTCTTTACAGGGAAAAGCCAAGCGGAATATCTTTTCAGTTTCGATGTAATTTTCACTATGGCAATTAATTTGTCCATAAGAATAAATAGCCTATTATCTTTTCGAGGTATTAGCCCGGATTTAGTGCGACTTTTGAAATCAGCGCAAAGTTTAGGTGCAGTGCTGCGTACCGCTGAATTATTGAAATCGTTATGTTATATCGATCTGTCACGTTCGCAATTGGACGATTGCGAAGTGAAACTGCAAGGCCTCGAGCATATGTTGAACATTGAAGCATTTCAGTTGCCAGTGAAGTCTAAACCCGTCGAAATATCAACCATTCATTTCGCAGTGACACCCACGAAAGTCGTGGATCCTGTCAGAGATGCTTCCCAGTACGCTTCTCCGGTTCTCGACAAGAAAGTCTTTGACCCGCCGAAATTCACGTTGCACGCAGATTGCGATTGCTACAAGTGTGGTAACGTTTCGTATCAGTATCTGGTGTTCGCTACCACTTATATCAGAGCGCAACTGTACGCTTTGCAGAATCACACTGTGGCAGCGCTCGATCATTTCCACGGCGCTTTTGAAATAAGGCGAAGATTGTTCAAGGAAGAGAAGGCGGTTCTGCCAGATAACTGGCCGCACGATGAAATCGGTGTGAAGCAGTTCTCCTGGCAGATACGATGCTACATCACAGATTATATACTGTTATTGATTGATTTTTCTTACTTTCTGAAAGCAAAAATAATGTCAAAGCAAGAGAACGTAATTGATATCACCAATTTAGCGATCAATATATGCTGCAAATATAAATTAGAGGGACATCCAGTCTATGTGATGGCTAAGGAATTGGCGCTCGATAATGAATTCCAGCCGATATTGGAATCCTCGGAGTCTTTAAGTATGCGCTCTTTGATTTTTTTTTTTTTTTAATAAACTTAGAAAATTTTTTATATTTATATGATAATTTTTATTGCAGCGTTTATGGTTCCACAATCCTATGACATTGATACAAATGACTGTGCGACAATCCCAAATGATCCGAATGTTTGTGTCACGCCCTCCGTTCAGAATCGTCGTCCCAAGAAACCTCTCTCGATTCGACGTAGAAGAAGCCCAAAAGCCTTGAAGATAACTAAAATTAATATGATTTGGAGTGATGACGAAGATGATGACAATACATCACCACCGCCAGCCACATATTCAAATAAAAAGCTAAAATCGCGTACGAATTTAATTAGAAGAAAAATTTTGGAAGAAGATCTAACAGATGATCCAGTTAATTTAAATACGGAGGAGGACTCTATGTCGAAAGAAATAAAGTCGGAAAATTTGAATGAAGATGAAAACAATACGCACAGGAAATCGATAAAGGATATTATGATTAAAGTGGTATCTTTAGTTCCAGATATATCTCAGAATTTGATGAATTTAATAGACAAATCAGATGTACCTGTTACGACGGAAAATATTGATAAATTAATAGAAAAAGTAGAAAGTCTCAAAATTAATTCAAAAACAACACAGAGAAAAAGAAGCGTTAGAGATACGAAGCAACTAACAGTTACTGATTATAATGCAAATATAAATCAGGCCATAGAATTATTGAAAAATATGACGATAGAGGAAAAACCAACGGAATGTATCGATTCTCTTACGCCAACAAAAACTGAGAAGATTAATAAATTAAACGATCAAAAGACTCCAGAGACGCGTAACGAAAAAAAATTTTTTAAAAGTAAAACGCCAAAAGAAAGTATTGATAAGGCGGGACCATCGTTAATGAACGAACATAAAAATGCACGAAATAAATGCCCAAAGTTATTTATAAATAATGAAGAATACGGTAGAAGAACAAGATCCAATCTCAAAAGATCTCAAAAAGAAAAACCGTCGTGAAGGCACCTGTGTGTGAAAGTGTGAAAATTATGCATTCTTCACAGTTCTAAAAAACGACGAAGGACTATCGCGTAATGCGAATGAAATAATTATTTTTAATAAAAGTCAAAGATATTTTATAAATAATCCGAGATACATTTTATTATATTTAATAAAAAATCGTAACCTATATCTTTACTTATCCTCTAAATTATTTTGAACGAAAATTAACTTTGGGAATTTTAATTCATTCTTTTTATTATACTTTATAAACAGTCATTGATTTTATTCCAATTAAATATTTTATAAGTAAACGCAATTCAATGTTCTTGACGCTATTTTATTCTTTCATTCACGTATTTATTGTTGTTCTTAAAATAAGTATCACACAAGTATCTATCATAGTATAATAACAATATAAACTGTGGAACAGCAAAAAAATAAGCATGTAAATACGTGCATACATGCGTGTTACATAATTCCGCGGTTTTGCTAACAAAACAAAACAAACTTAATTACAATATTCTTTTAAATCGATCTGATGTATGGAAAATGATTATTATGCAATAAAAGTACGTAATAAGATTCGCTTTATAATCCTGTGGGACACACTTGTTTTCAAAATCTCTGAGCATTATGTGGAAGAAAATTATTTATAACAATAAAACAGTAACCTCGTTTTTATAAGTATAAATACTAAATATGTATAACTAACATATGAAATTAAAAATTTCAGGATCCCATCAAATGAACTCATGTACTCATACCCATAGATACTTATCACGTTGGAATAGTGATAGTAACAAATAAATCCTGTTCGGGATTTTTTTGTTTTATTTAGATATTGATACATGTCAATATTCATGTCTATTGTTTTGTCTACTGTTCAATTCGTAGCTATCTTTTTATAGCGTGCAATGACAGAGTTAAGAGATGAGATTAGACTAGTATTGTTAGAAATTTCTGACTTATATCAATGCTGTTTGAAAATAATTACTATTATTACAAAATACTACTATCTTTAATCACAATTATTATAAAAATACATAGAGATATATATATAATATATACAAAAGTAAAATTTTATACATCTGTCTAAATATACGTGTGTGTGCGTGTGTGTGTGTGTGTGTAATATATACGCCGCAAAACTCGTAATGATTTCACATTTCATATTTAACATTTTTTATTGCAATGAGTTTTTGATCCGAGTTGATGCCGTCACAGTGCAATTCCTGCATTTGCTTTTCTGTTCTTCCGGTGCTTATATCTTCATGTCCACTTTGCTTTAGATGCAGGAAATGCATTATGATAGCCCGAATTAAATTCATCGCAATCGAAAACGCTATTAGTTTCATCTTTGAAATCAACTGAAAAGAATTATGAAGCGAAAAGTAGGAAAGGCGTGAATATCAACATATATCAGTATCTACGTAAAACTAAATTTTGAACAGCATTAAATTAAATAAAGAAAAAAAAAAATAGATGTGTTTCATAACATAAGACTGCTTTTACTGCTTTCATATGCCGGTAAATAGACTGTGTTACATGAGCGGATAGTTTTTATTAGTTTTTCTTTTGCGTATAAAAATAACAAAGTTACAATTACGTGTAATCACAGTCTGTAAATGGCTATAATGATGATTCTGAAGCCGCAAAACAATTGTCTTTCGTATCATGCTGAAAACATCGTACTAAAATTCTCTCCTCTTCTTGCATCTTGGCCAATTCCATCAACGCCAAAGCACCCTGCCATTTTTTATTGTCTTCCTGTAGCGGTAACTTAGCTATGCTTATATTGTCTTCTGGCTTAACAACTACCTTTGTTTCAATTCTCTCAGGATCTAATGCGGCAGGTGGTTTCGAGATGAGATCCCTGTTGCTATTTGAACTACCAGCCAACATCAGAACCGTCGGTCTAGTTTCATTTTCGCTTATATGAGAATTGGTCAGTACATCCTGATTCGTTGTCTCTCTCATAACAATTTGATCTGCAAAGTCAAAATGTAAATGTGCAACAACCTCAGGACCTTGAACTTTTACAGCAGATTCATTAATACTAGTTTCAAAAATATTTTGATTACTTGGTGAATCCCACTGTGGTTGATTCAGAGAGTGCACAACATCATATACAGTTTCTTTCGCTACTTTTGGAGATTCGTTGTCATGATCCACGATACCATATATTTGGGAAGAAAAATATGAAGGATTCATTTGTGTATCCGATTCTGCTACTTTGTTGTTCAGACTTGTTGCAGACGTATTATCTGTATAGGAATCTGCGAGGAGTGTTGAGTAAGAGAGAAGTGGTTCCGATAGAGTCAAACACTGTTTATCATCAATTTTGCTTAAGGTCGCTACATTGTTAGATTTGATATCATCATTTAGATCTAGTTGTTGTTCTAAGCAAGCATATCGTAGCCATCGCTTCTTTGGTTGTAGTCTGTCCAAAGCCTGCCTTCTTAGTGAAGTGATCGCTAACTTGGCAGTCGATGCTTCTTCATCCTCGGACATTGGCAGTATCGCGCAGCATGTATCTGCTGGATCTTCATCCTGACTCTCCTCTTGACTGTCCTGACTTTCTCCGCAATGTAACCGCTGTGGCGGCTTGCGATCGAGATTTTCTTGCTCGCCCGCCATATCCATCATAAGGCCCTTTCTGGATTTTATTCTCTTATGATTTTCGCCGCTGTTCTTCCACGACTTCTTTTTCCGTTCGCTCTTCCCAGTCGGTGTTCGATCCTCTCGTTCCATCTTGTAACGCTCGAACCATCGACTTACTTCGCTTGGTACTTCCATGTTCTCGGACACTGGCTTTAATACAAAGTCATCTGATCTTGTAAGGTTTGCGTAAGGATGTTCCGGACAATGTCTATTGGCATGGGTGAATCTCATTTCACAGCCTGGTTGAGTGCATAAAAACGGCTTCTCTCCTGTATGTAATCGTTGATGAGTCTTTAATTGTCCCGATTGAGTGAAAGCCTTTGTGCATCCAGGATAATCACATGTATATGGGCGTTCTCCTGTGGTCACAACATAAATACTTCATTATTTATCAATGTTAATATTGTATTATTTGTGTGTGTGTGTGTGTATGCGCGCGTGCGCACACATAGTTCTCTCAATTTATTTTTGATACAAAACAAGCTCTGACTTGTGCATCTAATATATTGGTTAGATTTTAAGAATTATTTAAAAATTTTTTTAATTGTTATTCAAATGTGTCACTCATTAAAATGTCTTAAAGCCTTGATGTACAGTTTGATTTTCAATGTAATAATAAAATGACAGATGATTTTACTAGATCTCTGACATTTAAATATTTGACAAACATTAGTTTTCTCATCTCAATCATAGTTCCGTACTCGTGATGAAAGAGAGACTGCAACAATCACGTTAGAGAACGTTCGCAATATTTTCAAAAAACACGTCTCGCAAAAGCGGAAGTGTCACTGCGCGTCCTTTTTTTTTTGTTGTCCTTAGACAAAGACCGCGCGCCATAACGGACCAACGTGGACGCGTGCACAAACACGCGCTTTGACCTCTCTCTCCCCCTCCTTTGCCCAAAGGATTAAAAATCCCACGCAGCTCAGCGTGGGCATCGCTCGTTACACGTGTCGCCGTGGCGTAAATTTCGCGCGCAACCGGCGAGCTTGGGCCCGCGCGTCTCGGAAATGTATCAACGTCGGTACGCGAGGCGAGCCATTTAAAGTATTTAAAGCGCGGCATGATGGCCGATTGGCGGGACGCGTGAGAGAAAGAGAAAGAGAAAGAGAAAGAGAGAGAGCGAGAACCAGAATCATCCATCGCGCGCGCGTTCCTTCCCCTCGCGAAACGGATCGTTGAATAAAGCCAGCGCTGATCGACAACGGCGGCGACGCGGGAAGAAGCCTCCCTCACCCGTGTGAGTGCGCAAGAGCGCCTGCAAACTCTTCTCGCGCGGGAACACCCGGTTGCAGTAGACACACTTGATGCTGCTCGGCGATGTGCTGCCCTGCATCATGAGATTCGTGAGTGCGTCGGCGCGCGGCCGGCCGCGCCGGTGGCTTTCGGAGCCGCTGTCCGCGGTCGACTTGCCGCCGGCACTGCCGCCACTCGCGTCCAAGCCGGTAACGTGCTGCTCCCTGTACTCCGGCGAGGAGCACGAGCTGCCCGGGCTGAGGTTCACGTTCCGCGCCTCCTCGCCCCAGTTCCATGGGTAGAACTGGGTGTCGCAGACCGATGGACTGCGCTCGTACGACTCTGCCGCCAGACGGGATCCTCTCTTCGGCGTGTGCAGCTCCATCCTCGGCTGCCACCCCGACCGCCGCGGTCAATGATTCACTCACGTTCTCTCACACGATCGCCGAACTTTCCACAGAAATGTTTTTACTACGCGCGACACAACCGCGGCAACTTACCGCTGACTGGGGTTGGCCGCTGGCTCTGGTTGGCTGACACTCGCGACCTCTTTGCCGCCGTCCGTCGGCGCTGCCGCGCGCGTGGTGTACGCGTGCCGCGTGCAACTGGTAAACCGCCAAAATACGCACACGAGTACGCGCGAGTTGTCCAAAATGGCGGACGCGTATGCGCGCGCATCCCCTCGACGGCCCGGCCGGACTCGCACAGCCGCGGAGAGCGACCGACGGGGAAGATGAATTCATCGCGGGTATCGCGGACTTTTTTGTTTCAGGGCTCGTGGGAGATCGATCGGTCTCTTTACGCGTACGATACGCGTTTGTCTTGTCTTGATTTTCTTTTCGAGACGACAGGTGCAAGAACTCGCAGGTTCAACTGAACGCCTGACGCCTCTTACGTGAAAAATTTGAAATAGAACAATCGAGAATAAATGTAAAAAGGGTCGAAAAAAAAAATTAATATTTTTCAAGATTAATAAATGACTAGGCGGGTAAGGCACTGCGCATAATGAAGAAAATATTAGAAAGGAATGAACATTAAATATCAAAGTTTACGCACAATAGGCAACAGGAACAAAGAATAATGCAGACAATAAATTTCAATCCATTGAGAGCCGACAGATTGAAACTTATTGCCTGCATTATTCTTGGTTCCCGTTGTCCATTGTGCATAAACCTTAACATTTAACATTTATTTCTGCTCCTAATATTTCCTCCATTGTGTGCCTAATTTTTATTTCCAAAATTTAATATTTATTCCCGTTCCTAATTCCTATTCTTGTCCCTCCCATTGTGTACGCAAGGCCCAAATCCCCGAATAGATTGCGTGCGTGCGTGCGTGCATGCGGCATGACACTGCGAGATTGTCCGGCGTGCGATTGTCTGATTGGCCGGCGCGCCGATTGGACAATGGCGATTATTCAACGCCGATTGGCCAAGCGAGATCACGCTATGCGCACGAAAATAGAACGCACCAGTCACCGCGTTTCGAAACGACGCGCAATTAACCGTTCGGGATGGAATCATCACGTGAAACGCCGTCGTAGGACGCCGTGAATTTCCCCTTGGCGACGCCCACGTCACAAGCGGCTCACCTTAACGGCGAACGACGCGACGCGATCTTTCTCTTTGGCAGCCGCGGCGGCGCAGTTTCGTTTCGAGTCTCATGAGAATCGCGCGACTTCCCGGCGGGCGAATTACGAACAATTGAGAGTCTTCTCGAATATGGGCGAGCCCGCGTTCCCGGCGTATCGGACCGCGCGAAAATTCACGGCGTAATTTTTAACGTCGTCCGACGGGACGTGACGAGGCGATAATCAGCGATATTCCAAGCGCGAACGCAGTTGATTTCGGTGGACGAGGTGGCGCGCCGACTAGCGCCGACCGCACGACCGATACGCGATCCCTCCGCCGCTCTCGCGCCCTCTTCCCCTCGCATCCCGCTCCGCATCGTTCGTGCCGCAGCGGGGTAGACCTCGTGGTGGACTCGAGCTCTTCGACTCGGCCATATTGGATAGTGAATGACTCCGTTACACAGGGGCTCAAGAGTAGCCGTGAAATCTTCGCAAGATCCTCGACGCCGTGAGGATACCGAGCCAAGATGGAAAACGAGTACACAGTTACGGTCACAAATAAGTTCCTGCTGGCGCTCGATGAGAGCGAGGATCCACTGGAGGTGCTAAAAGTGCGCGAGCAGGAGAAGGAAGCCAAGAAGAAGGAGAGGATCTCGGAGAAGGAGAACAAGACGAAGCAGCAACAGCAGCAGCAGCAGCAGCAACAACAGCAACAACAGCAGCAGCAGCAGCAGCAACCACCGCAGGACGGCCAGAAGGCGGCCAACAACAAGACGCAGAAGAGCCGCGTGATCAAGGACGCCCAGCAGCCGCCGTCCAAGACGCAGGAGACTAAAAAGGATCAAGGTTAGTCCCCTCCCCCCCCCCCTCCCGGGGGGGCCCGTTCGGATCGTGCGGCGCCTCCGGCCTCGTGTGCGCGCGTTATGGCCGTCGACCTCCCATGTGCTCGCGGTGATCTCGCGTCCTCTCTCGACGTTCCGGATATTCCTCGCTCGAGGCCGGTGCCTCTCGTCCGCGCATCTTCTCCGATCGATCGCCCCCGCCGAGGGAGAAAGACTCCGAGAGACGAGGGGTATATAGAGCCGCGAACGCCGCCGCATCTTCCGCGGGGGGGGCGAGCCCGCGGGCGCTTCGGGTATATTTTCTAAAAATGATTTGTGCGCCTCTTAAAAATAGGCTCGTGCGCGTGCCGATCCCGCGGCGGTCTTACATGACTCCCGCGGCGGGGACATGCCGGTACACAATCAAGTCCAAGTCCAAATTCGTGCGCGAACGAGGCGCCGGCACATGCGGTGCGCCTCGTATCTCTTGTCCTCTCTAGATATCACCTCGGAGTTTATCTCCGACCGGGATCGTACGGTCGGTACATACCAGAGATCCGATTCTATTACTCCGTACGCGATATCTGTGCATATCGAATTTATGAATCACCCTTGTAGATACGAACGAAATTTACTATTGAAAAAAAATAATAAAAAAAAAAAGATACTAGTGTCGCCGTGTGTCCGCGCCGATCGCTTCGAACAAAGAGATGATAGGATGTCAAAGAATAGCCATTCGACACTGTAATTTTCATGTAAAGACGCATTCGCGACTCTCTGCAAATTGTAAATATTAACCTTTTTTTTTTTTTTCAAAGTATATCTTTAGTGTATTTTTCAATTTTTTTTTATTTTTATAATTTTGAAATATTGTATGCAACGAAATGCATTTAACTTTATTCAATTCTAATAATCTTTTATCATTAAGAGCATTTCGAATATATGAAAATTCTTTCATTTGAAAAAAAAAATTTTTTTTACATTTGCATGTGTTTTTTACATTTGCATGGTTAATGTTCTCAGCTGATAAGAAGCCAGCTCAACCAAGAGCAAGCGGAGGAGACCGCAACGTCAAATTCTCCAGCGAATCCCGGGAGGAGCGCAACAATAGGCGTAACCGGGAAGACGGGGAAAGAACGCTGCGGGGACAGGGAGAGTTCAGACGAGGACCTCCTAGGTTAGTACCAGAGATTAAACTTTGACTGTACTTAATCGTTTCATCACCATATAAATAACATGTCATCAAATACATCTCTCTAATTTGATGAACATTTTGTATAGAATATCATATTTTATTTCATTTTTTTAAGAATATTTTGAATACACAATTTTCAATGTTTCATTTTTCATATCATAAATTAATATTATCTGCACAATTTCTTTTATTAATTATGTAAGATATCAAAGAGAGTTGAACTTGGATCTTTATATCAACAAGCAAGTGTTTTCTCTTGAAGCTACTTGATATCCTAATTTGAAACTTTTCAAAAGGAGAGAAATAATTTTAAAGGGTGTATTCACATACACAGTTATATATATATATATATAATAAACAAATTATAGTATATAGCACATTAGTACTATGTTTGGTGGATTAAACAGTCAAATACACACGTATACGTAAAGCACAAATAAAATATAGAAACGCGTTTGGCTATTCTCCATTCTGTCTATTATATTCACAATTGCTATTCAAATTTCTGACTCTAGAAAGGCTTCTCTAATCATAACAATTGTATTTTATTTCAGTGAAGGACGCGAGACACGCGAGTTCCGAAACTCGAATGAGACTCAACGTGGCGAATATGGGGAACGTCGTGGCCGCGGTGGAATGCGCGGGATGGGTCGTGGACGTGGTGGCCCCCGTGGACGCGGCGGCTTCGATAATCGCGGCAAACGCGAGTTCGATCGTCAGTCAGGCTCTGATAAAACGTAAGTATCCAAACACGCACGCACACATGTGGACACATACACGGATGTTACACTCGAGTATCTCTATACAATGATGCTTGCCTCTGTGTGCACATTTTATCAAGGTTGTCGCTACATTCAATTCATCGAATTCTTTTCAGCCCACCAAATGCAATTTGTATTTATTGCCGCTCTGCTTTTTGTATCTTTGAATCTTTTTTTTACGCTTAATTTTTCGTTATTTTTTCTACTTGTTTATTATTATCATTTTTGTGTTAAACGCAACGGCGAATGCTTACGGTAGCTTGTAAAATATCTTTCTTTGTTTTTTCCTTTTTTTTTTTCTTTTTTTATTTTGTAGCAATGACCATATAAATTGAATAAGAATGATAGTCTGTCAACAGTATACATTTGTAATGAGGCATGCATTGTTAATTATATAACGTGTAATGCTATGTAGCTTGATCGGTGCACTATAATTTAAAGCCTATTCCACATTTGTCTATTAACAGTGGAATTAAACCAGTGGATAAAAAAGATGGTGCTGGCAGCCATAACTGGGGTACTCATAATGATGAAATAGAGTAAGTAATTCAAGACAGTCCATACTTTCTACAACAGCTGCGTTTAAAAAAAGAAAATATGTCTTGACCTTTATTTTGTCCTATCTTTTTTTTTTTTTTGTAGAGAAAGCCTGAATCAAGACAGTCAAGATTGGGCTAATGATAAACCGGATGCCGAACCTCAAGCACCGACCGAAATTAAGAACGGCGAAACAACTGCGGATGCGACTGTTGAGGAGAAACCAGTCGAGGAAGAAACTCGTGAACTTACTTTGGATGAATGGAAAGCCCTGCAGAGTAACAGAGTTAAGCCTCAATATAATCTGCGAAAAGCCGGCGAAGGTGAGGATCTGTCCCGTTGGAAGAAGATGTACGCTCTTGAGAGGAAGAAAGAGGGTAATGAAGAAGAGGAGGACGAGGAAGAGGAATATGACGCAGCCGCGGAGTATCCTCAGCGTGTTGGCAGGCAAAAACGAGTGTTAGGCATCGAGATCCAGTTCAGTGACTCACGACGTGGATCCGGCGGTCGCGGTCGAGGTGGTCGCGGTCGTGGTGATCGCATGAACGGACGTGGATTTGGAAATCGTGGTGCTCCCAGAGATGGTGACTCACGTGTAAGTATTTCTACATTTTCTAATTAGGATTTCTCTATTTCTACATATGTTTTAATTGGAACATACAAAAAAGAGGGAATGTAGAAAGAGAAAAATTATATGTTCTTTTATATGTTCTTTCAGTCACAGAACGAGCAGAGGTCGCCGCGAAGTCGTCAGAACGCTCCGAAGGTAGACGATGAGAATGACTTCCCTTCCTTGGGATAGGTAGCTTCATCTGTTGACTATATAACATCCCACCATTACCGTCACCAACAGTACATTTACTGCAGATAAAGCTCTACACTAACTAAAACAAATATTACTATCGAGAATCTTGCGTTAGTGATAACATTATTAATGCATAATACAGTACACCGTTGCAAAAATGAGATACGTAATGCTATCTAAAAAAATTCCTTTCGTGACTTGAATGTCACAATTATGTATTGGCATATAATCGTACACATGAAAAGTTACATGATGTATGGAGAAGAGAAACAAATAGATAACGATCCTTTTTTTGTACTTGTGTGGGAAGCCATTTGTCTATAACTAGTCCGAGACACTGGCCAGCGGACGAATGATCTGTGCAAGAACGATGCACAGAACATAATCACTGTGAACTTGTTGATAATTTTCAATCCATAAGATGACAGGAAGAGAATATATGAAGAACATTGAGACAGAAAGAAAGAGTTTAAGCGGACCAGCAAGCGTAAAACGTTATGGAGTATAAACTTCAAGTTACAGTTTCAATCTGCTTAAATCCGAATCGAAGGCAATTGTCGAAAGAAGGAGAAATTTTCACTGTACACAAAAGTAGTGGAACGCGGGCTGCGGTATCGATCTTGATCCGATGTCGCGTTAAGGGCCTAAAGGAGGCTGAATGATGTAGCATCGATACGCGCGCGAACATGTATAATATCTCTTTTTAGGCGTAAATTTTAAACGCACTTTCTGTTTTATAAGTTTTATACGATATTTGGAAAAGAATCCTTCCTTGTATCACACACACATATACACAGGCAGGTCTGAAGCACTTGCCATGCGTAAAAATGTAAGAAACTTTTAAAAGGGAGAGTAGATTTCTATTTAAGAAAACATCCTAAATAAATCATCTACTTAGAGCATGCTAAGTTTGACATATGTATATGTATACATAGCGAGAGAGAGAGAGAGAGAGAGAGCGAGCGAGACTTCCCTTTTGAAGATGTAGTCAACTTTTGTGCGAAGTTAATATTCAATATCTCGAACACACATTGACGCAGTTTTAGGTAATAAATATATATGTATATATATATATGTATAATATATATATATATATATATAATATATATATATATATATACACATGTATACATATATGTATTCTATTATAAATGGAGGGAGAAGAAATCGTGATGCGTTAAGGGGGAGGACAGAACGAATGAGTCTACACTCATATTACTATGTTACACTTATGCGTTCTCATATTTTTAATTACGAACTAATATTAGTTATTTACTATATTTGTTATACGATTAAAGAAATTATCGCAGCCAACAGATTCACCTCATGTCCATCATAGAGACAGAAAAACAATGAAGATAACAGAAAAACGTTACGAAGCTATTTGAAGCTTAGGTATATGTGTAAATAACATTTACAATAATAAATTATGACGATGATCGGACACTTTGAACTCGATTAACTTCATCAGTTGGCGATAAAGTTACTCTAAACAGATTCTTTTTCTTGTTTGTGCACATCTGTACAGAAAAAAGCGTAAGTACAAAAGTATACTATTTTAAATGTCACGGAAGGGGAAAAAAAGGATCCGAATCTGAGAAACAAACGAATTCATATTGAGACGTGTTATGCTAATAAAGTTGTAAATGCAACAATTTTATTGTAATTTTTTTCTTTCAGTTAAAAGCATTACAATCGTAACGATCATTTCCATAATCGAAAAACGATCTTTTATCGCTTTTTTGAATTTCCATTTTTTTCTTTTTTTTCTTTTTAAATTGCCGCTCAGATTTCGTAAGCGCCATTTTAATTGTATGAAGCCGACTTCAGATCGCGCAGTTAATTGAATGTAAATATTTAATTTTGTTCTCTGTATAAATCACATGAATATTTATTTTTTGTAATTAGATTTTATATTGGAACTGTTAGCTTTGCCTGTATAAACGATTAAATTTGTTTAGCAAATATGATTGATGAAACCGAAATATGATATGTCCGCCATAATGTGAAATAAGTGCTCACAATCGTCACTAGAGAGCGCTTTGTTCGTCATATTCGTCCTAATGCGCAAATGCGACGGATGCATGTATCTGGACATACGAATGAAGGTAGTCAGAAAACACGTCTTGTACCTAACAAAAAATATTCGAGATTCAATCAAGAATGAGAAATGGTCAAATCTCGAATTTACACACGGTCCGCGTACCGTGAGAATAAATTTCAATCCACCTGCGCTTTTTCAAACTTTGAAAGCTCATTCCTCGAGTGACCTCTCATTATATCAACGATTTTTTTCATAACAAAGAATCTTGATTTTTTTTTAGAATAAAAGAATTCAATGTCTTGGATTAATTCTCGCTGAGGGAAACTCGTCGTTAACTTCGCTAAGGTATCCATAACCGAGATGAAAGTTTCGAGCTATTCGGTATGTCATATATAGATGTACACGCCGTGTGCAGAAGCGAGAGGCAGATGAGCGAGGAAGGAAGAAAGAGATATCGCGCTCAGGGAAAGAGTAAAGTCCGGCTCGTCAGAGGAGGATCCGCGATAAGAGCGAGAGAGGGACGGATGCACGAGGAATAAAGAGGGAAAGGAAGAAAGAGAGAGAGAGAGAGAGAGGAGGA